GTGCAGACAGTCATAGTACTGACCTGCTACTACCCTGCGGACTCAACATGTCAGTTCCAATCCAAAAGCCATGTGGCGGTGTTGGCTTTCGCAGAGCACTCCCCTAACCCTTGCTGAGAAGCTGAGCATATTAGCGTAGGTTTAGCATCATGCTCATCTAACTATACGGCTCCTAGGTTGGAGCTAGATTGTATCTGAGCTCAAGCAGAATTGCTCACCTGTCTGAAGGGGCAGTCTCCTTCGTTTTCTTTTGCTCTTTATTCATTTATGCAGTGAAGGATTTTTGTGAGGCATCCCAAATAGAACATCCTCTTTCTCTTGGTGTAAATTTTTAGTTTACTCTTTGGAAATTAATTTCAGCAGGCTATAATACAGGAGAATACAACCCCAATTTCTAAATACTGCCTTGAAGATGGAGCTAAATATTTTTGAAGTGGCAGATCAGAGTTTGACTTCTTGGATGTCAGAAAGTAATCTCCCTGAGTAACAAGAGAAGGAGTAGCTTAATGTAGATTCATGGTTGAGCATGTGGTTTGATGACTAATGTATTTTGAATGAGACCACCTTAAGTCTGCTTCTTTTGGACTATATATATGCACACGAAAGTTCTGCTTCCTCAAGGAAGTGGCAGCCCCTAGAATCCTCACTGATGTGCTCAGGTGTGGCAGCAGAACTAGAGACTCCTTGTCAGCTGTTCTGGCTAGAGAAGAATAGTTATCAGTTCTGTGAATAATATTTAACAAAAAAAAAAAGGTTTTAACAATCTGAATAAAAAGTTGTGAACTCAAAATAGCCATCGGGGAAGATGAATACTTTGAATAGTAGTCTGCAAAGCTGCTTCATGCCCTTCAGAGAAAATCTTGAGGAAGGCAAAGGAAAGTAAATCATCCTTTATCTTCTGGAGCCTAAATATAAAATGGCAAATATCCTACTATGGGACAAGCCTGGAAGTGTAAATCACAGAAAATACACATCACTTCTGTCCCTCAGAGTACGTCAGTGGCATGAATTAGGCCCCCTGTAAGTGCTTTTGGAAGGGCACTGTTGTTGTGAACTGATTTTCTAAGCTGGCTGTCCTACATTAGAGCTGGGAAAAAGCAGATTCCCTTCCAAAGGAGGAAAGGAAATTAAGCTTTTAGAACGAAGCTATTAAATATAACAATGCATAATCAGAAGTGGAAAAAAAAAGGTAGCATGATCTCCCAGAGTATAAAATGTCCTGGTGTCTCTGAAAGGGGATACTCTAATCATAGCACTCTTGCTGTTGTAGTAGCATTTGGTAAGTGAACCTATGAAACGCTTTGTGACAACTGCATAACTCTGTAGTGAGCTTTTCGTTAACTTTCTTTAAATGTTAATTGCAAAGCTTCACAACACGAATCCCTCATATTGTTATGTTCACCATTTGTTAAAAGTGCTTAGCTCACAAAAATATTATTTATGCTGAACTAAAAATGCTGTGACACTAAAATTGTTTGTTGACATTAACACAGTTTGTTTAAATTATCAGGTGGTCCAATTTTGATAGGAAATTCCTCAGTAAAGTACTGATGAGAAGGTCTGCTCAAAAATCAAGAGACCAGATCCTTAATGTTTTCCATGAACTCAACTTGAAGGATGCAATTAGCTATGTGGCTGAGGTACTTATGAAGACTTGTTGATGCATCATTTGGGTTTGGGGTTTTTTTTAAATTTATAATATAACGTAACCTAAATTTGATGTATTTCAGGAGAAGTCTAAAAGAAAATTTTCATTTCTGCTCTGCTTTTTTTTTTACCAAATATGTTCTGAATCTCAATATCACCTGCTTGAGTTGCTGTAGTTCTCAATATTATACCTGATCACGAAGTATGAATATACTGTACTTACGTCAGTATACTTTTCTGTTGGATTTTACAAGATAACTGTTTTTATATTCATTGCATGCAAAAAATCATAGAATCATATAATTGTTTAGGTTGGAAAAAACCTTTAAGATCATTGAGGCCAACCACTAACCTATCACAGCCAGGTCCACCACTAAACCATGTCCCTAAGCACCACACCTACATGTTTTTAAATATCTCCAGGGATGGTGACTCCACCACACCCCTGGGCAGCCCATTCCAGTGCTTGGTAACCCTTTCAGTGAGGTTTTTTCCGAATATCCAATCTAAACCTCCCCTGGCACAACTTCAGGCTGTTTCCTCTCATCTTACCACTTGTCACTTGGGAAAAGAGACGAACCCCCACCCCTCTGCAACCTCCGTTCAGATAGTTGTACAGAATGATAAGGTCTCCCCTGAGCCTCCTCTTCTTCAGGCCGAGCAACCGCAGTTCCCTCAGCTGCTTTGTGTAGGACTTGTGCTCTAGACTCTTCCCCAGCTCCGTTGCCCTTTTCTGGACACTCTCCAATGTCTTTCTTGTAGTGAGGGACCCAAACCTGAACACAGGATTTGAGATGTGGCCTCACTAGTGCTAAGTATAGGGAGCCAATCACTTCCCTACTCCTGCTGGCCACGCTATTTCTGATACAAGCCAGGATGCCATTGGCCTTCTTGGCCACCTGGGCACACTGCCAGTTCCTATGCAGCTGGCTGTTGACCAACATCCCAGGCCCTTTTCTGCCAGGCAGCTTTCCAGTCACTCTTCCTCAAGCCTGTAGCATTGCTGGGGATTGTTGTGACCAAAGCGCAGGCCCTGGCACTTGGCCTTGTTGAACATCATACAGTTGGCCTCAGCCCGTTGATCCAGCCTGTCCAGATCCCTCTGCAGAGCCTTCCTACACTCCAGCAGATCAACATTCCCACCCAACTTGCTGTTATCTGCAAATTTGCTGAGGGTGCACTCGATCCCCTCATCCGGATAATTGATGAAGATATTAAACAGAACTGGTATAGACACTGAGCCCTGGGGAACCCCCCGCTGTGACCATCCGTCAACTGGATTTAACTCCATTCACAACAGCTCTTTGGGCCTGGGCATTCACCCAATTTTTTACCCAGTGAAGAGTGTACCAGTCCAAGCCATGAGCAGCCAGTTTCTCCAGGAGAATGCTGTGGGAAACAGTGTCAAGGGCTTTACTGGAGTCTAGGTAGCCTACATCCACAGCCTTTTCCCCATCCACTGAGTGAGTCACCTTGTCATAGAAGGAGACCAGGTCATCAAGTAGGACCTGCCTTTCATAAACCCATGGTGACTGGGCCTGATCACCTGGTTGTCCTGAAATACTGTAATTTCAAAGGGATTGGGCAAACTACTGTTTTTCTAAATGTGTCAATAGAGTCTGGCTCCTACTGAACAGTGGTTTTATGTGATGATGAATCTGATTTGAAGAAGCTCACTTCCAAATGGTGTGAATATATGACTGAAGTAATGGACTGCTATAATCTCATTCCGCCAGATCACAGTAATACAAAAAATATGGGAAGGGTAACTTTAATTCAATGGAATCATAGCACCCACACTTAAAAAATAGGGTTAAAGTGGTATACTACAGGTATCAAACGCAATCACAGGATTGTGAATTAAGAGAAACTTAAGACTTGCAACAAGAGAAATTTCTAAAATTACAGAATGGAAGAAAGGTACTGGCCTTCTGCAGGAGTACCGTTCCCAGACTGAAACAATGTAAACAGATAGTACAAGAATTCCTAATCTTCTTCAGTAGGAAACTGGTCAGTTCAAATCACCACAAATGTGCAGTATTCCTACAGTGTAGAGGATAGTTTTAAATGGGATATTTTAAACAGTGATCTTTGATGTGATAATCTATCTATGTCCATAATCACCAAGTGAACTAATTTTCATAGCTTGGTGATATACCAATTAATTACTTTAATTAAAATAAATACTATTACTATGATTGATACTACTACTTATAATCTATTTTCTTTTTTTGAAAATGAGCTACAGCCAGGCAGACTTCTTCCAGTGAAACATGGAATTTCAAAGATTGAAATCACAAAATAAGATGAAATTCAGAAATTATGTTAATGTGAAAAATAGGGAGTTGTTCACAAGATAAGCAAATGCTTCCTTTTGAAATTTTGTAAATTACCCATTCAGTTTTCAGACCATTTGAGCTCAAGAACTGATTTTGGTTTTCATGGTGCTTTCTGGGTCACACCTCAGAGGAAGAAAGTCAGATAATGGCTTTGATGTTGATGAGCATGAGTCTTATGTTCAGATTCACTGCTGAATCTGTTCAGCAGATTCGTTACAGTATTTTTTTCTCTTTGACAGATGAAAGAGCACTATAGATCACTAAGACATGCAGATTTACCTCCAGAATCTTTACCAGATAATGTCTTGACTCCCATATAATAATGTCAGATTATGTCAGATTTTTAGGAGAGTTACCTTTTTCATTATACCTAGTACAGTTCACAACAAAAGGAAACTGAATTTTTCTCCCTTAGCTGAAAATCTGTCTTGAAGACAAATTCTATTAGCAAATGTCTTCTGATCTGATAATAACAGACAAAGAAATTAAAATTTCTGCAGGTTCTACAAAAGATTTGCAACATGGTTTCTGTCAGTGGATATTAGTTATGTAAATATGCCTGATTAGTCACAAGTTGTGAACCGTAGTCATTCCACCTATCTCATGTTAGTATTTGCTTCAGCGATACACCGCTTTAACTTTTCTTTGACTTCTGAAATATATCTTTGAGCTAAATACCTATCAATTACAAGCTGACATTGAAACTCAAGACATTTCTTCCTGGAGGAGTAAAGATCTGCTACCCCCAGCTACTCACTCTCTTCTCACTTGCAAGAGGTCAAGGAGTTTGAAAACGTATAAATTTTTCTTTTTTCATCTCTGCTGTTATGCTGCAGCTGTACAATAAACAAGAGCTTGAGACACTTCAGTCTGAACCTAAATAAATTCCTTACAGCTGAGAGGGGAGAGCCTAAGACAGGCAAAATGAAAATAATCAAGAGCAAGTGAATAGAAGCAACTTCAATTATTTACAGCTCATAACTTCTTCCGGCTAAAATTCCTCCAGTGATGATGTGGTATGTTGTATGTATGAAACATTAAACTTGGTTTGAAAAGAAAGTCAGGTGCCCTTAAGAAAATGGACAGGATGATGCTGACCCAGAATTTACATCTTTTTCTCTTAAGTTTTCTGTCTATAGAGGCCAGAGTGCACTTCTTAATGCCACTGATCTAATCCAACACATACTACCGTAACATGTATGTGGACTACCAAAGTTAAAGGAAACATTTGTCTGATTTGCTCTATGAATACAAAAATGTAAAGGGTACACAATGCAGTCAGACTTGGAGATAAAGTAGATAAAATCTCTTTCAAAATTCTTCAAGGGAGATGTTTTCTCTTGGTGTATTCTTTATTACAATTTAAATGTGATTTCTCTCTGCTGTGATTCATACCATAGATCGGTTCAGCCTATGTAACCACGATGTCACTCAACAGCTACTTTTCGCCTAAACAAGAGATTATGGAAGGAGTAGGGAAAACTGTGAAGACATAAATCTGAGTTTTTCCAGAAATTCACTCCTGTGACACCTGCTTTAGAACAGAAAGCAAATCTCATCTCTTCAGTATCTCATCTTTTCATGCCATAACCTCATCTGAATAGTCTTGTAGACTTCTGCCACCATTTGACATTTGTTGCTTCCAGCCTGGTAGAGAGCAGAAAACTTGTTGTATCTCTGAAAACGCTACTGTTAGTGCAGTGATTCGTCGAGTCATAAAAATCTGCATAGATATCCCTATGTACCTGGTTTCCAATGTGGTACAAAGTAAAAAGTCCATCTCTGAAAGTGTTTGTGGAGAGAAAAGAGTTAAACTACAAAAATACAAGGATACAATTTGCAAACAGATTGGGTCCTAAGAAATCACATTCTCACAATCAATTTACAAGAGTGGAATAGTTCTCCTCTTAGCTTTGTTCATTGGGATAACATCAGTCAGCGTAAACAAACAATAAAACCAAAAAATGGTTTGTGTTTATTACCTAAATGCAACTTCTCCCCTGCTTCTTGTGCCATTTGCATACAGCAGCCTCGCAAATCACCCACGTTTTCTGATGCACGTTTTGCCCTAGGTGTTACAGCTGTAATATGTCTTGTTTCTTTCTGCGGCCAGGGAGAACGTAGGGGTTCCTTGGCATTTATACGTTCTCCAAGTACAGACAACATGGTAAATGTGGATTTCAGCACTCCATGCCCAAGTACTATGGAAGGCTCTGTCTCTTATTTACTGTAAGTAATGTGGACTTGGGGGGGTGTGTGTGTGATGGTGTTACAGGGTTGTGGGTTTTTTGTGTTATATGTGAAGAGATGGTAACAGTGTTATAAATTTTGAAATAATGCAAATTACAAGGGCTTCATTCACTACTTTTTTGAACTTCAGTTAATCTTTTCTTCCACATAAAATGGGTACACATACAGTTATATTGTTGTGTTTCACACACAAACAAATTTTTGCAGTAAAGGCTGGTAAGATGAAGCAGACATCTGCCTTAGAGTTGTTTCATGTGCCTTTTGTTCACTAACTGCTATAGGCAGTGCTAGATGTCATCTACGTGTCTGTTCAAGAAAAAGTCAGGAGAGAGGCAAGGAAATAAATTTGCTGCTTCTTTAGCTCTTTCATGATTCTTTCACCGGACAGACCACGTGCCTTGTAAACTGAGAAATTAATGTTACGTCCACATGAAAGACAAAACAACAATAATCTTTTCACATTTCCCATTAGGTATTTGCTCACTCATTTTAATTTAGCTGATTTTGTTGTTTCCTTTATTTTTTTGGTAAATGTTATCTTCATTTTTCCCTCTCGTTCCCCATTTTCCTGTTTTGTCTTCCTCTTCAGCAATTACTGATCTTTAAAAATGCAGTTTGCATATTGTATTCTTCTTCAGGAGAGAAAAAGCTGGACCAGTCTGCCTTGACATGCAAGCGTTAGAGCAGAGGAGGAAAAGTATCCGTGACACAGAAGACACAGTTGCTCATCACACCCTACAACAGTACCTGTATAAACCCAGGCAGGAGGTAAGAGCAGATGGCTAACATTGGACTGTTTTCCAGTCCAAAACTAGGAGACATTAGGGACCAAAACTTGGAGCGAAACTCAAAAGGAAAGAACCCAACTGCAAAATCTGCACCCTTGAGGAAGATAGGCTCTTTGTCTATATTCTTCCTCATTTGTGAACATGCCTCTTTAACAGAACGAGCGCCTTTGATTTCACTGGGGCCAGTGGAATGCAGAACTGGGTCCAACATAGGTTCTGAAGCAGGATTAAATAGTGCATCAACTGAAGTGATTCAGACACATAGGGAGAGTCTTACTTTGAATCGCAGTCACTCTTACGTACTTAAAATTCCTGGGCTTAGACCTGTTTCATGATTAAGAAAGAAAAATAGGAGTTTCATTAACGTCTTCAGACTAGTCTTTGGGTCATTCTTTTTTAAGGACTTGTTTACAATTGCGTAACACTGATTGAATGCATTGATTCAGGGCTTCCAGCTGTATTTCTAAATAAATAAATATTGTCTTCCCTTCCTGGCCACAGCACAAACACCTGTACAGTCGACATGAGATCATGCACAGTGAAGATGAAAAACAAGACAAGGAGATTTTCCATAGAACAATGAGGAAGCGCTTAGAATCTTTCAAGAGTACCAAACTAGGAATAAACCATGCCAAGAAGCTCAATAAAATCCACAAGCGAGACCGGGGCCAAAAAAGGGTAAAATACTTTCACAAGGACCCAGATGTAGCCACCTATTATATAAACTAAGGGGTGGGGAGGGCAGGGAGGACTCTGGAGGGTCCTATCTCCTGCATTTATCTCTGTCCTATAGAACTTCATGAATGTAAAGGGCCTAATCAAGAAGAGATTAAACTCTGAGATAACCCAAGGGGCATCTTCTCACATGCTGCTTTTCCCTGTGCTTTGGGACCCTTCTTCTGGGTGAGAGACTTTTGAAAAACAGCCGACCTTGAGCCATGCTACAACATGGTGGGGATATGTTGCAGGGTAGGTGTAGCAGAGTAGCACTGTAGCATAGAGGATCCCACAAAATTTGAATGAAACTAAGAAGGAACACACAGCATACAAAGAGCCAAAGTTCCTTTCTTTTCCTGTAGTGAGTACAAGTGTAGGGGGGAAACTAATGACATCATATTGAGTCTCAAGATTCCAACAGATTTCAGGGTTATGCTGCTGAACTCGTGATTTCAAAGGATGTCACTGCCATTGCTATCTGATGATGGGACTGGTTTTGGTAACTTACTTTGTTTTCTTTCAGCGAAACAGCAGTGTCATACCAAATGGAAAAATACCTTCAGAACATCCAGTACAAGATTTTACTTTAAACGAAAAAGGTAAAAAGACTCAGACCAGTTTAATTACCTGTATTTTACCAGATACATTGTCAGTAAAGCATCACTGAAAAGTTTTGTGATATGCAACAGTGAAACTGCTCTTAAAAAGGAACTTCTAGCCGTAATTCAGAACTCCGGGCGAGGATGTGCTCTATGCTTAAATGCAGTGTTTCAGTGATTTAGAAGTTGTTCTTCTAGGTAGCTGAATGACAGATCAAATTTTAATTGGCCTTTTTGCTCACGTTTTTAAAATATTGCATTTAAATCTTGAAAACAAAACAGTGGAGTCACTGCAATGTAGATGAACTTTCAGATTCTTTTTGGATGAGCTCCTCAGAGCAACTTTTGGAAACATTTTTCTTTTTCATCACAGCAGGGTCTGCCCAGAACACTGAGCCATATACAGTTCAGTAGTTGAGAAAACCCGATCTGAGTTAAGGTCCATTTTTTTTGAAGGGTCTGAATCAGAGTTGATGCTAAGCAAGCACTTTAGAAGTCAAGGAGAACGTACCTTTGAAAGGAACACCTAGTCAGAAGCCAGTTTCAGCACTGATTCACCCTTCATGCACAAATCTAACACAGGTCAGCCTTGAAAGTGTAATCTGAAGCTGACTGGCCTAGGGAGCATCCCTAGCAAAAGCTGGTTTTGCATGTAAAGCCCCAAATTCTTTCATCTCGTGTTTTAGCCATCTTTTGGCATTGATGTCAATCAGCAAGATGTGATGGATGTTGATATGTTTGTTATGTAATTATAAAACAATAATATAAATTTCAAAGAGAATTAAGTAGAGAGGGATTCATCTCTTCTTGATAGCTCCAAGCAAAGATACTTTTCTATATGTATGTTCTTCGAATAGTTTTCTGAGCACTGTCTTTCTTTTAGTGACAAGGGCAATACAGGCTGGCTGAATAATATTCTAGAACTCTTTTGCATGGGAAGTTCTTTCTGAATATTTATAAGTAGCTCACTCAATACTGTCCTGTTGAAGAATGCTGTGTATAGATGTCATCCTCTATTAAAAAAAAAAAAAAAGCTTAATTGGAAGACAGTCTTAACAAGTGGTTTAGCAGCTGTTGTAAAACTGGTTCTACTGCAGTAGAAGTCAGTTAGGAATGCTAATGCTGACCTTTGTCAAATTATGGAAATGCAGTGAGTAGTCATTGTAAGGGGATGGCATCTGTCAACACGTGAGCAGTTAAGATGCAAAACACAGCAGCAGCAGTGGTGACATGTTGTAGGTTGTTTTGCTTCAATCCCAGGTAATTCTATTAGCCAAAAGCTTAGCCAGAGTGTAAAATCTCTGTCATAGCACCAGCTAATAATACAAGCTGGACACTTGTGTTGAGTTTCTTGATGTAATTGGTATCTAAGCTGCAAATTCTATACACATTCACAGTCACATTTCAGTGCTACAGCTGCTGATTAAATTTTGCCCTTATTTAGATCCTTGTTAAAGATGTGTCTTTGATAACTATGCCAGCAACAAAACAGCATGAAATTTCGTTTTCTATCAGAATTGATACAAATCTCTAATAAAATTGGACTTTTTTTTTTTCTTCCCCCAGATTTGGAGTTGTCTGAATCAGAAGAAAATAATGATTATGAAACTTTACACCTAGGCAAAGGAGTTGATTTCCTGGCTAATGTGACAAAGCAAAATTTCACAGATACTCCTACTGGTAAAATTCTTAATTACCTACAGAGTTGGGTTATTTTGTTAAAAACACAAACAAACAAACAAACAAACTAGAAATGCTGCTGATTTAACCTGTATTTTTTGTTTTCTTTCGATTGGATGTGTTCTATTAGAAAATATATTTGCATAATATTAATGTTAACAGATAACAAGTTTTGGATATCCAGAGGTATGGACAGCATCAAGTTTGCCACTGATAGAAGTTGGGAGCATGATGGCCTAAACCAGACCTACAGCCACTAAATATTTCTAACAACAGAAAACGTTATTTTAGAGTTATCCTACCTCACATGACCAATCAATACTAGTCCTTTGGAATTGTTTCTACTTGCATTTGAACTAATCTGTTGTGATAAATTCCATGCTGCTTCTTTCAGGCAGGATTTCTCTTCACAACTCCCACAGATCTTTACAGGCTCATGGAAGTCACTGAAAAGGGCATATTTGCAGCATTCCTAGAGCATTCATTGGACTGGATTTCCAGCCCTGAAAGGCTCCAAAATATCGGATTGCAAGTGTATCACTATGTATAAGATAAAATATTGATATAATATGATTTATAAAGTTTTGAAATATAGTATTTCTCTTTAGCACTTTCGTGTTTGCATTTTCGGCATGCCACTGTATGCCTCTCATGTAACATGCAGCATACAGTCAAGAAGAACACTTATGTCTCTACTCTCGGCAGACATGCTGATACAGCCTTTTCACTGTTCCATGACAAATTCCATGTTTAAGAATGTATAAAGATAGCACTTTTGTGTTTCAATTTTCAGCATGCCACTGTATGCCTCTCGTAACACGCAGCATACAGTCAAGAAAAACACGTCTCTACTCTCTCGGCAGACATGCTGATACAGCCTTTTCACTGTTCCATGACAAATTCCATGATTAAGAATGTATAAAGACATTCAGAAATCAACCCAGAAATAAGTGGGTGGCAAGATGCAGACCTAGACTAATTTTTAAAATTTCTTTTTCTGTTCAAACACTACAAATTTGATATCTATGTTAAAAGGCTCCTGTAACTTCCTTTTGATGTCCTGTGGCCTGCTTTAGCTCCCTCACACACATTCCTTCATGGAGCTGTGCAGTTTATGCTTTTGCATTTTTCCATATTTTGTTTCTTTTTAATGTATTTGATTTGAATTTTGTGCAGTTATTTTATATTGGGCTTTATTTTGCTTAAAATTTACTGGCTGATTTCTTCTTTTATTCTTTTATTTTTTTGTTTCCACATATCCCAAAAATAACTGCATATTGGATATGATATCCATTTTTTGTCTTTAATAGAAATACAAAAAGACTCTCAACAATCAAGGTAGAAAGAGGAACTATGTGTGTATTATGGTCTGTGTATTTGCCTAGCCACACCTATACCAGCGCGTATCAACCTGGGTTTCCCACTAGAGACATTCTTCTTTTCCAAAGCATTTTGCTGTATTACTAAGAAATTATTTTGATTAATTGTATTTGTCACTTGTGAACTTTTTTTAGGAATTGATAACCCAGTATTTTCAGCTGATGATGATCAAAGTATCTACATGAAGTTCTCACCATGGTTATCTAGTGAAGATACTGTGGTACCATCACAAAGGGCCCGAGTGCAGATCCCATATTCTCCAAACAACTTCAGACGGCTCACTCCATTCCGACTCAGCAATAAATCAATAGATTCCTTCCTGTTAGCAGATGGCCCAGAGGACCGACCCAGATCTTTTCTCCCAGAATCTACACATATGTAATATTTTAAGACACTATCACCTTTATTTTAAATCAGCCTTCCTATAAACCCTGACTATTGACAAGTAAACTTACTTTTCTGATTTTTCTTCTCACAGATCATCTCTTTCTTCCCTGATTTCTTCATACAACTAAACATCTTCTATTTTCCTCCAGCTTGAATTGTAAAATATCTTTCTATTTTTCTTCTGCAGAAGAGCTGTCCAACTATCTGGGTTCCAATGACTTGCTATTTTTACAGCAGATATGGGTCCTGAACTTTGTTTTGCCTTGAATACATTAAATGCCAAGAAAATAGTAGTCCAAATACCAGAATATCGTGCACTCATTTTCAAGAGGCTCCAGGTTTCCTGGTTGCCCAGTGATAATATTTGTCCCTGAATTCCCTAACAGAAATCAGGTGATTCTGATTCACCCCCCCACTTCAACAGTGACTGTTCTTTTCGAGTAACATGGTCACTACCGTCTGCAGATGTAAGCAAAGTGGTGTGAAGCCCCAGAGAGACAATCCAGCTGCTGATGCCAAAGCATATGGTTTGCCTGTAAGAGGTCAGATGAGTCATTTAACCCATTGGACTCAATTACATTCAGACGTACAATAGGAGCAGCAGGAAATCATTCTTAGCAAGAATAGACTATGATTTTTGACCCTATCGCTAAGAAGCCTTGAGTCAGTTTTGAACATTTGTCCAGGTTATTTATCCAGTGCCCAGGAAGGGAAGATGATCCCACTCCTACAATAAAAGTACTCAATGACACTGCTGATGTCATCATTAAATTGCATAAGAAAGGGTTTAAAAATGAAGTATGTTTACCAGAACACATCAGAGTTCCCTTGCACAGGTAGAGATAATTACACAACAGCCAAACTGTGGAGAAGCAGAATTCCAGTTCTGGTTAGAGCTTTATCCTTAAACTGTGAGTTTATCTTAATCCATACCTTATCTTGAAACCAGAAAAATGTTTAGCTTTCTGATGCAGTAAATAACTTGTTGCTTCTAATGTGTTAGAGGCTTAAAATTAAATTGACTTGAGGTTTAAATGAATATCCTAGTTGGCCTTTATTCTTGCTTTGTGGAAATTTTCCACACCATAAAAACCAGCCTTCACTTCTATAATCAACACAGTCAGTGCTGTAAATGAGGTGGATCAGGTCACAGTTCACACATCATAATTGAATAGAACACAGGGCACTGCAGGGATTATGCAATAAAATGTAATAGTCAGTTCATCATGAATTCGCTTTAGTGGAATCCATGATCAGAAATGTATGATCTAGTGTCCTCTGCATCAAGAAATAGAGAAATGTGGGAAGTTGAAAGCACTTCTGTAGTTAGTTGATGAAACTTTGGTAAGACAAACACCTCAGGATAAGAGGGATTGCTGGTAATTTTGATTAGCGAACAACTTCATAAACTTTCAAAAAGAAATAGAAAAGGAAGTCCCATTTTTCTTCAGTCCTGGCTTCTGTACCCGCAGAAAATGTGCTAGTCCAAGTGTACTTACAGGAAGCACATCACTTTCTTTACTGGAGTGGGCTGTTTCAGTTCCTTATTAATGCATCCTTGATTATTTTTTAGGTAATGTTTTAAAATGAACACTGGATTAATTAAAGAACAGTGAATCAAATTCCAATATCCCAATTAAAAACTTGAACAATGAGCAGCGTTCCAAAAAGAAAAATTCTTTACATTTATCCACATTGAAATTCTCTTTACTTTTTCTTTTTTTTCCCCTCACTGAGAACACCGTAATAAAGTATTGGCATATGATTTGCTGAACATTTTCTTGCTAACCTTTGCTCCTTTCCTCTATTCTATTGCCTTATTTATAATCGACTTTATTACTAAGAACTGGTTAGTACACAAGTTCTTGTCCAGGTGTCTTTGGTATATCAAAATCACTGGGTTTGACGGTTGTGTTTCTTGAGAAGTGTTTTGGGAAGTTAGATATCCCAAACTAATAAGCTTAGACCTTGATTACTCTCTGAAACAGTCCTTTGAATTATCCCCTTAACAAAATTCTCCTAATGGGAGAATGATACTGAAATTTCAATTTAAAAGGTTTTAAAAAACAAGGCAAACTGGAAGCCAAGGGTGGAGATCTGAGGATTCTTTACATAGTTTAAAGTATACAGAAAACTGATCATTACCCTCTGCTACTTGATTGAAAGCTCACAGTTTCTTTCAAAAGTTTCTGAAAAATTTCCTTGCAGAGCATCAGGACTAAGTGTTTCAAAACAAAGATATACCTTAATGACCAGAGGATGATTCCGTCTCCTAAATATCTGAAACAGGCAGTTGTTCATCACAAACTCTGTACTAAATATTGCCTGATACTCGGCGAGGATAAGAAGTTTAATAAACTCACTTGAGGTTGTCCAAGATAGAAATTGTGACAGGCTACAGTTCCCCAGAAAAAAAAAAAAAAATCTTAAACCACCATTTTCATAAGACTTTCTTAAAATAGCCAAAAGCAAAGTCCAATAGCCAGCATGCTAGTATAGAAAATGTGTTTTAAAATGTTTCTATTTCATTGTGTTCTCTAGGTGATATGGACCACGATGTTGAAATGACAGAATACTCCTCCTCAGATGACCAGCTAAACCAAAACCAAAGTGTTTCAGTGACTCCCCTCCACTTCTTCCCATCTTGTCTTCAAATGCCTTGGACACAAAGCTATTCTTCATTGGAAAACAGAGGGAATATATCTCTTCCTACTGTCTCTGAGTATATAGCTTCTTGTGACCCAAATATATCTGATGTTTTCTGGGAAGAAGGTACAGATACAAGCAACAGGGAGACAGCAAACTCAGGTTATTGTTCTGAAGTTAGCTACAAGTCAGAGAATTCGCAAGAAGAGACTTCTCTCCTTATGTTTGAAGGGCTGGAAGACTCTTATATGAAGGAGCCCCAGGAGAAGAAAATGTTGCTTGATATACAAGGAAATTACAGATCTGCTGCAGCCAGACGTGTACAAAGCCGACGTTCTTTTCACAGGCCAAAACCTCTGCAACACCCTAAGCTTCAGAAGCTAGCATCTCTTCCAGCATCTTGCCATGTCCCTCCACATTCTTTGGAACAAGAGGAAACACAGTTGTGAACGAGGACTGACTTGAAAGGAGAAGATGAGAGAGAATAACCTGAACAAAAGGCTTCTGTAAAAATAGAAAGCAACCTATTGTTTCATGGGATCTGCTGTACAAGGGTTTCAGATCGAAAGGGAGTGGGGTCTCATGATGTCAGAAACCCTGGAGCTTTTCTGCTGCACTTACATTTTTTAAGTTCTCATTCATAATTAAAGGAGGCATAGTAAAGGGCAAATATGCTTCCTTGTTATTTTTTTTGTGTAGACTGTTACATAAAATCAATATTATTTTTGGAGGGCTAAACCAAGAATCTTTTCAAATGGTAAATCCTTGGGGTTTTTTACATGGAAATGGTTTATTATGCATTATGCCATAAATACATTTAAAGAAATAGGCTGAATTTGCTGCTTTGGTAATGGAATTCAATATTTATGAGGTAGGAAATTAATGTAGGAGAAGACAATTATTAGTTTCTTGCCTGCTAAGTCTACTCTGATTGAAATGGATCAGTGCCTTTCATACGTGCAAGTTAAAGAAAAATATTTTCCTGCTCTTGAATATTTGTGTCACTGAGTAATTGTGGGATATTGACTCTGGGGGAAAACATTCTGGGCAGAGGAAAGTCCTGTAATCTTTGCATTCAGTCAAGGACACCAGGAAGGCCATTTCCTTCCTTCACATTCGTTTCCTCTACTCAGTAGCACTGGAATGAAAGAACATCCAGAATCATCTCAGAATTTCAGTTTTTGTGGTCTCAAGCAACGAATTTCATATTCTTAATTAAGCTGCTTTGTTTTAAATAGCCTCACTCAGACAGAAGTGTAAATATTTGTCATTTTTATTGCTGCTTTGGAAGACACCTTCCAAATAGTCCGTTAGATTATCTTGTTAATTTATGTATCACATTCAATAGCTGATCAGGATAACGGTCTCTCAGACGCCATCCTGTGTTTTGCCACAAGGTTTAAGTGCCACAATGACTCAGGATGTTGATGGTTCAAAGTATTGTAGTTTGGTAGTTTGGCTAATGTGTATGTATATACCTGTTTGTGTTAGGAACTTGCTTTATTTTTTTGTCACACAGTTTTCTGTTAAATGGGAGTAGTTAAGATTGCACTAGACACCTATTCCTTATGAATCTGATCTACATCACCTTGAAGACAGCTGGAGACCTCAGTGAAAGCCAACTCAGATGAAGACTAAATAAAAGTGAAAAGTCTGGACTTCTCATGGACTTCTCACTACAAGCTGGTGTATAGTCCTCTGGCCTACCTGTATTTTGCCTTGGATGATTCCAGTCCTGAAAAAAGTCTGAGACTTCTCATGGATGTATAACACTACAAGCTGGTGTATAGTCCTCTGGCCTACCTGTATTTTGCCTTGGATGATTCCAGTCCTGAAATTTTGGCTTGAAACCTTCAGTTCTGTGATGCCTGTAGAAGATGAGTGCTTAGCCACTTCTTTGATCTTAATGTGCACCTTATTTCTATTTGATATCAGCATAAACCATTTGTAAATGCTCTAAGTCACCTTCTGGGAGGCATCTGAATTGCTTAAGACTGGGTACAACAGGGGCTTTATTTGGTAAATTTTACTTTATCTGTAGGAATTAGTGGTTGTTTCACTCTACCTCCCCAGATTTTGAACGGGTCCTAGGTCATTCTGTGTCAGATGTCAAATCTGAGATTTACCCAGACACCCAAAAAGAGTGGAGCAATGTGTGAATATTCATGCCTACATCTTTCTCCTACCTTTGTCCTCTTTGCTAAAACTGCCTGTTAGGCTAGTGTAAATTGCAGAGATGTGATAGCAGATGTCATATAGAAACCTAGATAGATACATAACATATGCCTTTAGAGACAAGAGTCAGGGTACTGATTCTTTTGATACCAACCCACAAGCAGCTGCGTGTTT